TCCCTGCTGGGCTCCAGCGATCCTTCCGCCTCAGCCTTCCGAGTAGCCGGAATTACAGGCATGCGCTACCACGCCCAGCTGATTTTTTGATTTATTGTAGAGATGAGGTCTCGCTGCCCAGGCGGGTCTCAAACCCGCGGGCTCAGGCAATCCACTCACCTCAGCCTCCCAAAGGCGCGAGATTACAGGCTGAGCCACCGAGCCCAGCGTACCCCACATCTTTAAAACAAAATTTTTTTAAAATTTTGTTCTTAAATAGGATTTTTAGTAAAAAGAAGACCTACTGCTTAAACAAATCAATCAAGTAATAGTAGTGGCTGTGTTTAAATATGGAAAGCTTTTGGGAAATTCTGCTTTAAGGCAAATTGGCTCAGATCCCACTTGGTGCAAATATACAATCCAATTGACTTTCTCTCCTTTTACCAAAAGCATCCATCTAACTTCAAGATCTTCTCTGCTTCGGCTTTCTATTGCCTTTTCTTGTACTCAAATTGCCCATGAAAATCAAGCAACTCTGAAGCTTTCCTAACTAACTGGTAGCGAGATGGCAATTCTGGGAATGTGCTCCCCTTCCCCGTGGTCAATGTCATTGCACTACTCCATTTTGCTTTCTCATTACATAAAAGCTAGCTTTATAGTATGACCTAGGTATCCTGGCAGAAGATGGCAAAGCATTCTCACCACACTGCTCTATTTCCTTCTCTGTCTCTTCTGTCATTTCCACTTCTCTCCAAACCTTGTAGCCCCCTCTTCTGGCACCACTTCTAGTTTTGCCGATGCTATAAATGGTCTCTTTTTTCTTGGACTTGTCAACTCCTGCCATGCCCTTGCTCTTGCTCCTCATTCTTGTCTGCCTGCTTCATCTTATATCCTCTCCCTCCCTCATCTCCCCCGATGATCCTTAACCCGGAGATTTTACCTGTCTTTATTTTTTCATCACTGTTTTAACTTCTTAATCACAATCTCCTCCTCTCTTTGCTTTTCTCTCTCCTCTTATCTCCTACCACCCGTAGTCTTTATTCTTCATTTTACTGGGTTTCTTTCCCTACATTGTGCCCTGCTGCACTGACCTCAAGATACAGAGAAGCAAACAGAAGGTTTGTAAATGTGTTTGCTGATGTAAAGATGAATAGAGTTAGACATTTCTAGTGCTTTTGAAGTTCTTTCTGCATTTGAGTCCTACTTGAATTATATGACTTACTCCCTTAGGAACATTCTTACTCAAAATAAGTTACACAAATTCTGGTCTAGAATTGATTGGATATAAGATTATCCTTAGTCTTTGAATGAGACTCTGTGTTTAACACAGATTACATATTCTTCACAGGTCAGTGTGCAATTTCCCACATAGATAAGGTCTTTGAAAAGTGCTTTCAAAATCAGAATGATTTTCCCATGTTTTGACAGATGTACAAATGAGTTCTTTTGAGTTTAGTGTTTCAAATGACCTCTGAGCTTCAAACCTATTTGAATTTTCATTATGTTATTCTCTTCTTCTAATTGCAGAAAAATGCGCAACCCCTAAATTCACAATTTCTTTGAAATAGGAATTCCCTCAGATTTTCACTGAGTAGTTTAACTTGGGGAATTGGAAGTGATAGAATACCCCTATGATTATCACATTAATAGAAATTAAGACTTTAGAAATATAGAGAGCTACGGATAAAAGGCTAGGGGAACAAAAGAGAAAAATTCAAGGTTTTATATTTGATTTTTTTTTTTGAAAGAGAAAATGACATACGAGGATTAAACTGAAGAAATGGAGAGGATTTAGACTGGATAAATTTAAGCTTACATTAGGGAAAATCAAAGTTTTCCCTTATAACATCAAGCGTTTCCAGAGTTACATTAGATTTTATTGGTATGGAAACTATCTCCAAAATAATTTCAGTGATTCAATTATAATTTATTATCCAGAAAAAAAGTGCTTCTACTTCTTTTAAATGATCTGAAATAATGTATCTTTTTTCCTTAACAGAGCATAATGAGAGTTGAGAAGTCACACTCAGAAAATGAAAACAATCCCTGTTTCTCATTATGTTCCACATACAAATTTTGAATTTTATAGGTTAGTGATTCATATTTGATCTAGTTTTATAATAGAATCTGATTTGGCATGATGAAGCAAACATTAACACTTTTCTTACATGTGGCATTTAAAAGAGAAATGTGACAAAATCCAGTGTTAACTGGTCTAATTCAGTAAGAAATTTCATATATCTGAGTCTGATAACACACTGAGAAGCTTAACGTAATTTTAAAATAATGCTATTCTATTTTTTTAAGTTTTATTTTGTCAAAAGGACGTTTTTTTATGTGCTAGAAAATAGTTAAAAATGGATGTTGAGGTGACTATATTTGGCTTATTATTTATTTCTTCAGTTCATTCTCCACATTTGTGAGTGACTACCTTAGGAATCTATTCCAAAAGGGAAGTAGTGTGACAGCTAAAAGCACTGCCTGGGTTCAAATTTCTTCTTGGCAAGAAATATGCCAATTTCTGACAGCATCGGGAACCTCATCTCCAAAATGGGAATAGTAATAATACCTATTGAAGATGGTTCTTTTGAGAAATAGTGAGCAGTGACAGTAGCAGGCTTGTGGAAACCACTCAATGAGTAAGTGATTAAACAGCCAAGATGTTAATGTGGAGATGTACCCTGTCCCTGCTTTTTAAAGTAGCTAAGTTCAAGGGTTAACCAGCTACCTGTCATGGAAGCTGGTTGAATCAAAGGTATATTTGATCATATGGCTACTTTTTATGAGCTGCGCATATTGGAATTTTTCAAATTTATGTTAACCCTCCTAGTCACCGCTTTTCATAAAGTTAGTTTTTTAACTGTCTTAAAGGAAAAGATATACTGTGTCAATGACAGCATTTAAGTGGTTTCAAATAAGGAAGAAGACTCAAACAGCTAAATCAGTTGGGACTATTCTGCCTCCCTCTGGTTTAATCTTGGAGATTTGTGACCTGAGGGGCTTGTAGCTAGAACTGATGAGCAAGTACACTTTTGTGGAAACAGTTCATGTAGTTAGATTTGCTCTTATAGGGTGACAGGAAGGAGCTGCCCAAACGCTGTGGAAAAATCCCTTTTAAAAAAATGCTCATTCACATGACAGTATCAAATTTTTTTAAAAAATGAATCTGTGAAAATAGCTGATAGAGAGACTCCAAGCAATGTCCTAGGACAGCCTGGATGGTTGAGAGCACAGGATTTGGAGCCTGGCAGAATGAGGCTCAGTTACTGTTTGCCCTAAACCTCAGTTTCCTAAACTGTGAAACGCAAGTAATTATGTCTTTTTCACAGTTTTAGGAATAAATTAGAAAAAAAATTCTAAAGGAAAGAATACTAGATTGGTGCATTTTGTCAAGCCTGAAATGAATCATTTTGATCATTCTAACAAGCAGGGTCTGAATGATTGCATTTGTTTTATATTTAACACTTACAAATGGTTTTCTGAGCAGGTAACAGCAATGTTTTGTGCATTTTAAGGAGAATTGAATCCAGGGAATAAGAACTGATAATTATTATCCAGGCAATTATTTAGTGCCTATTATACATCAGGAACTTGACATATTCAAAATAGTTTAATCTTGGCAATAGCCTTTTAAGGAAAATTGCTTATCCCCATTTTATAGATGGGAAAACAGAACCTCAGAAAGATTAAATAACGTTCTAAGCTCACATAGTCACAAAATTATTAATATTCAGTGTCAGTGTAGGAAACTGTACCCAAGACCTCTGACTGGGAAGAATGTGTACTTTCTACCACATCTGATGCCATTCAGCTTCACAACATTTAAAAAATAACCAGGCTTTATGTCTGTGTGGCCTCAAGGCAGTATGATATCACTGGCACGGAACTATCAGGAACTTGGGCCAAATTGCTCACATGAAAGAGTTTTCTTCTTTTGCTGTGCCTAAACAAGCCATGGGATGTAGAAAATAAAGCAATTATTAAATGAAACCAAATTATAGGAACGTATTAATCACACAATCCCAGACTTCCCTCTAAGGATACATCTCCACCCCTGCTTCATTCAACACTTTTTATACTCTCGGCTGGCCCAGGGTTTTCCTCATCTCTTTATTTCTGTGCGCACATAGCTTTAGTACCCACTCAACATCGCTGCCAGCTTAGGCTTGCATTGCCTGCTTTACTGCATAATTGATATAGTACAGGGGACTAAAAACAGCAATCTAGGCTACTTTGGCTAGCCAGCCGTGACCAGAGGATAGTGGTGGGATACCTCAGGCTACGACTGGATGTCATGAGTGGATTCCTTCTTCCATAATGTAGGAGGCTTTCTGAAAATGTTTTCTGGGATGACACCAAAAAATACTGTAGTATTTCCATCATGCAACCGATAAATACATCATTCTCACAGGAAATGGGATGACAGGTGGACATACACTTTGAAGTGAAGCAAATCAAGGATTTTAAATCAGAGGAACCCACTAATGGCAATCAAAAGAATGCCTCTTTTACAAATCACCAGTGTCCTTCTTAAGTATGGCCAATGGTGTTAATCTTATAGTTTTTTTCATTTAGTTTTTACCCGTTGCCCAGAGAATGAAGCCAAAACCTTTTCTTCTTAGTGGTCTCTTCAATCTGCCCAAACTGCACATCCGGTTTCTTCTTTTATTATTTCCTTTAGTTAAATTCATCCCAGCCAAATTATTCACTTTCTCTTAAATACAACTTGGTATTTCCTTCCTCTGAATCCTGCCTGGATATCATTTCTGTGATTTTTATGCTCTCACCCTCTTTGCCACCAATTCAAACCATTCCCAGTGGTGAATAAGTTATATCTGCAATTCTTACCACTTCTTTGGCAGTTATCATTTGGTGTCTGAAGCTGTGAGTAATATTTGAAAGACAACTCACTTGTCATTAGCGTGTTGTATGTTCTCTAAGGGCAGGAGTAACATCTGCCTTTTTAATAATGCATCCTCAGAGTCTGGAAGACAATAGATATTTAATAGATATTTACTGAATGTCTAAAGGAAAGAAAGAAAATATGTACACACTCATATTACAGACTTTTCCTGGGCAAATACTATGTTTTAGATTTATTTGTATCTTTTTCAGCACTGAGGTCAGTGCCTTGAAAACAGTAAAATTTTATTTTTTTCCAATGTCCTAATCTGTGGAAATCCAAGCAAATTGCATTTGAGGTTTTTAAATCATACTTTTAATCTTTTATTTTAATCCAATAATTCTTTGTAAGATAGTGGCAATTCTGGTTTAAATGAGATGCATTTCAATGTACTATAATGATTTTAAAACATCCCATTCTACTTCTTATACAAACTAAAAACCAAGGAAAATAAGTTTGCCTTATCTCCATGATTAAAATTACAATGGTTTTATAGTGATGATTAATTTTGTAACATTTCCTGAGTATGTCATAGTGTATGCTGTTCTTCCTTACTTCAAACCCTTACTTACTTCACACACCCATCTTTTCACTTAAGGTGACTGGCCCGTCCTCTGGAACTCTACTTAGATGTGATTTTCTCAAGAATCCTTCCCTGACTCTTCACTCTCACCCCGTTCATAGACTTGCACAGCACCCTGTCATTCCCTTATTATATAACTTGGTGATTACCTCATTCTTCACTAGGCCGCAGGCTCCTCAGAGCAAGGGCCTCATTTGTTCTTTTGTTCCCCGCAGCTAGCATAGCACTGTCATAGATCGGGTGCTCAACAAACATTTATTGTGAATAAATGCCCTCTGGGAGAATTAAATGTTACTAATACTTGGTGTTTCAACTGTACATTGACTAAATGTGTTTAAAAGTCCCCAAATTTGAGATAATCATTAATTTTGAAGAGACTTTAGAGAACTACTTTATTAATTGTGTAAGGAAGGGATTGAAACTGAGCCAACCGACAAAAGAATGTCCAGTGCTAGTATGATTAGGGTGTGGGACTGTGTTAGTCATGGTCCAGGGTTTGAAGGATGGTTTACATTAGTTCTTTTATCTCAGTACCCAGAGAAGAGATGTTGACTATAACACTCTATAGAATTAAGTTTGTGGGCAGAAGGGCCTACTTACATATTTGTATAAAATGAGAACTATATTGCACAGACACAATTGAAGTGATGGCCAATCTACAGGCAGAGTATGATAAGCCTTTGATGATCTTTCAATCTGTTTTCATAACTGGGACTATTCCATATGACATTACTGTGAACCTCAAGGAGATTTAGTTTATAAGGTTATTTCTACCAGTAATCAACATGTTATAAATTGCAACAGAAATCTTTAAAATATTTATTTTTCAACTTATTTTTTAAAATAGCTGTAGTAAACATACTACATGTTAACATAAATAACATCATTTTCTGAAAGATATATTTTTCAAAGAAAATAAGTTAGTAAGAAAAGTGGCATTTTTCGGTAAATCGTTTTAATGTCTGGCTTAATAGAAAACAGCTAGATTCTCATGTCATATCTGCATTCAATCTGCTGCAGTTTGTTGTTTGGTTTGAAGTGAACAAGGAATATCCATTTTGCCACAGATACATAATTGGAAAATGAAAAAGCATTTTAGTAATCTTTTCAAGTAATTCTGTATATTCTTCTTTGATTCTACACCAAAACTCAACAAGTGGGAGTTTCTTAAATTTTATGATTGTAACGTGGAATATGAGGCCGTATCAGTTAACTTTTTATACTGTGTTACATTAAAACCCACTGGCCTATTCGGCACTTTCAATGGATCTTTAATTTATGCATGATTTTGTAACATCATGCATTAGTCATTTGAAAAACACTGGTTCGCTGAGTTATACAGATCTTCTAAATGCTGATGCATTTCCTTGTACAATGTCTAAAACCATGTTCATTTAAATAACCATAATCTTATTAGAAAAGACTAAGTATTAAGAAACTTCAAGCTCATGGTGGCATCTACAAGTTTTATAAATTCTAACTTTTTCCTTGAAAACTCAAATTTTTCATGAAAATAAATATTGTGGGTTGTTTATCTTGAAGTGACAGGCTTACTTCATTCCACTGTAAAAAAAAAAAAAAAAAAAAGTTCTGCCAAATATTCAAAGTCTGAATAACCACTGTTTGGCAGTTGGTCTTTCAAGTAAAAAATATGTTCCATAAAAGAGCAGCTAATTTATCTTACAACTGGATTATACAAGTGTTTTAGTTCGGGACAAATACTGTACTTTGGTATGCAGTAGAAGAGCTTTATTTGTGCCTCCCAGTTTGCCACATAGAATATTAAAAAGATGTAGTCGAGGGTTGAAATTTAATAAAATGAGTAATTTTTACTGCTTCATCAAAGACATTCTTAAATGAAACTGACACTTGTGGCAGTAAAAAATACAATAACTACTAGAGCAGTTTTGTGCCACTGCCTTGATCATACTAAGGTGCTAGCAGTTTTACCCACCATTGCTTCTATAGTATCAGTGCAAATGTCAACACAATAAAAGAAGGCAAATTAATGTCTTAGAATCAATATGAAAATAGCTTTGGCCTTGCAGTTCTCCCCTGAAAGGTTCTCAGGAACCCCCAGGGGTTTACAAAACACACTTTGAGGAATACTGCCTTAAGACACAGGCTTGAACTAGGAGTTCTCCTAAATACATTTAAATGACACTTAATTTTATAATAGTTTTGGGTTTTTTTTCCCAACTGACTGAATATTTATGAATTCTATGGTTTAAAAGTAAACTCATATATAAATAAGTAAATATCTGCCAAGCACTTGAATATGTGCTATTATCCAATCCTCATAAAACATCTGTAAGTCAGCTATAATTTGTTCCATTTTTATATTTGAAAAAAAAAAAGCCACTGATGCTCAGAGAGGTTTTATCCTATAGCAAATAATTGTCAGTCTAGAATTAAATACAAGTCTGTCTGGCTAAATAATGCGTGTTCTATCTAGTATGGCACATTGCCCAAGTCTCTCAAAAACACATTGAAGATACTTACAAATATATAAATATCATACCATTGGTTTTACTAGTGGCATTTTTTTTGGGAAGACAGAGTATATTGATATATGCAAATCCTGATGTTCAAAACACAGATTTTTAAGGCATTTTTATAAAAATATTCTTTACAAGTCCTTACAGAGATTTCTCTAGACTCAGGTCTATCATTAATTAACTGAATTAATGACAAGTCACGCTAACATCATTAGCACCCAGTTTTTTCCCAATGGCAATTTTAAAGCAGTCTCCCAACCACTGATCCATAAGAACTCCCCACCAACCTGGTGCTGTTCATCGGGTAAATAGTGTTGCCCCACTGTACAGAGGAGAGAGCTGCTCCTTATACAGCATAAACTGCAGTGACTTAGGTCAAGATCACCAAGCTATTTTGTAAAGAGCAGTCATTTTTCAGTCTGGTTGTTTTGGCCTGTCTGTCAAGTTCTACTCGAGTCACCAGCCCTGTCTTCCCCTGTCCTTACCAATCCTGCTCTCTCCTCCCTCCTCTCTGGTCTTCATCTCTTTCTTTCGCAGGGTCCCTCCTCTCCCATTCCTAAAATATGGGAGTCCTGCCATACTCCAGCCTAAGTCCTCTCCTGGCTGCAGCCTCCTCCTGGGCTTTGCAAAACACCTGAATGTGGAGACTCCTGATGTGACCTTGCAGCTCAGAGTCCTCTCTCCTAGGCACTTCCCTTTTGGAGGCCTATGTGGCGCTGCTCTCCGATGTCACACAGGCACCTCCAACTCGACAAGTTTGAAACAGTGCTCTCACGTTCCTCCGAAGCCCGCTCCTCTTCATGTGTTGTTTCTCTTGCCTTGTTCTCATCGCCTGCCTGGTTGTCCCAAGCAACAAGCCAGAAAACTAGAAGTCAGTCGACACTCCTCCTCCTCACCACCACCCTCCATAGCTAATCAATCACGAAACACCTTCTATCCTATTTCCTAAATATCTCTAGAGCCATCCCAACCTCCCAAATGGCCTTTCTGCTGACTTCGTTCAGACCTAGGTTTTTTCCTCTGGAAAACTGTAACCCCCCTCCTGCTTGTCTTCTACAGTGACACCAGAGAAAATTTCTTGCGACACATGATCCGATGACACTTAAAAACCTTAAAATCTGTCCTTGCATAAAACCTTAAATAGTTTTCCCGATCACTGACCACCTTCAGGAACATCCTGACTCTTTGGGCCCACAGAGCCTGGTGCCACCTTCCTTACATCACCTGCAATCCAGCCATACCTAACTTCTTCCGGTTCCCAGGACTCACCCTGTACTTGGACACTTTCCTAACCTCCTCACTTGCTTCTTTCTGTTCGTGGAATGCCCTCCCCCTCTCCACATCCCGGTTTGCCTGGCATTTTCTTCCTTGTCCTTCAGAATGCTACACTAAAATCTCTACCAAGAGTAGCCCCCAAAGGGGAACTAGCTGCTCCCCTTTGCATGTTCCCAGGAGACCAGGTACAAGTATTTATTATAGTGTTAATCCTATTTTCATAATCAAATTTATGCCTCTGTCTCTCTCCCCCCCAGGCCATGAGTTACTTAAAGACCAACACCATGTCTTACCTTTCTAAATCTCATCACTTAAGACATACCTGGAACACAGTAAGCACTTAATAAATGTTAATGAATGCTCTGCTCTGGGTCATATAACCCAAGTGCAGGGCCTGGAAGGCTCCCTTTTGCTCACCTCATTGTCGCATCCACAAAAAATGAGCTTTTACTGTGATCCCAAATGTCCCTTTCAGCCTTTAGAAAACCTACGGATTTGACAAAACTATTTTGTGACATACAAACGGGCTTATAAATCCCGACTGCAGTATTCTCACGTGGGAGCCCCAAAACTTTAGGAGCTGCATGGGACTGTCCTCTGTGACTAGCTGTTTCACAAAGCGACCGTGGTCATTAGCATGACTTAGGTGAGGTTGATTTTCATCTTATTTATCTTCATTTCGCTGTGGTAATGAGAAGAGGGCCAGTGATTTCATAGGTTCGATACTGACACTGTATCTTAATAAATACTACATGTGATTAGAAATTGCAACTCAAAAAACCAGAGTCTAAAAACCAGGTTTGCTGGAAACTAGGTTCGCAGTTGCAAAAAATGAGATCACTAAATTACTCGGTACTTTTTTTTTTTTCCGTTTTCCTATGCCCAGGCCAGGTTGCTAATTAGGTAACTTCTTATCATAATTACCTAGTCAGCCTTAATGGCTTCACACACTCTGCTGCGTCTCACTGGTCCTGCAGGGCCGCATTTCAATTGTGAAAACAGCTGCTGAGTTTCGAGCCGGAGGAGGTCGGTCTGCGCCGAGGGCAGCGCTCCCGCGTGCAGGCTGCGGGAGGCAGGCGTTGGGGGAAAGCGGGGCACGGAGGCAGTTGCACGCTGCCTCCCGCCTCCCGCCTCCCACCTCTGGTGGAGCGCATCCCCCCACCCCGCCCCGAGTCCCGCCAGAGTTTCCCTCTATTGTGAGCCCCCGGTCT